AGCTAGCCTACGAGGAGGCTTTCATTCTGCAAGTCGCGCAAATCCGTCCCTAGAAAACTTGAGACGAGTCGGGGGAGGGGCTCAGGGGTCTGGCACTAATTATCAGCGGACCTCTGGTCGCTCAAGGCCTCATGATTTAACGCGGATAAAGAACGCTCGTACCGAGGGGTAGCGAGAGCGTGCTTGTATGCTACACAAAAACAAACAAATATATTGTGTCTGTTTTTAATGATGTTATGTTTAACACAAAAGCACCAACATAATGAATGCGGTTTGTAGTGAAAAAACTGCTAATTACAACTTTTCAATAGCTTACACAGCTACTTTTTAAATACTAACGTCTTCTAGATTAGAGTATTTCAAACATACATCTGACAATACTCAATTTCATTGACATTTTGACGAATTGGCGTGGTCCATTTATAACAGCATTAAAACCCCCTCATGCACTGATCTATTTTTTTTCTTTATTCTTTCGTTTTGTTTTCCTTTGGTTCAATTTAAATTTAGTTTTCTTTAAGGCGCCTGGCGTAAAACGATTTTAGGAAAAAAACTTAAATGACAAATTTCTTTTCAATTTGTATGAAGATTATCTCTTCAATGATTGTGATGTTTCTAAATCTAAAAGTATGTTCCTCTGTTGTAACTCGTTATCAACGCAGAAACGACTAAAAGTTGATAAATCTAAACCCCCAGAAAATATCAACACGTATCTTCTCCTAAACCTTTCGATACATAATCTTGCGAACAGGTCTTGAGATTAAAGAAGCTTCTCATCTAGAAATTCATGTCTTAATTTAACACTAAATTCTCTTGAATAATTCGTGGAAAATATACTACAGTGAGGATTACGAATCAGATTTTGTGAGTTAAGGAGTTAACTATACACACCCAGCCCCTTTAACCAACTAATCACTGCCCGCGCCACTCACGTCTTTTGGTTTTTCTGTAGCGTTTTCGGCTTTGCTCTTGTCATCATTATAGGCCTCAGTAAACTTTTCATCGATGAAACTCTCCACCATGAGTTGAATGTCTTCCTCTTCTGGGCATTCCAGCTCGCTTAAAATCTGCCTGATGTCTTCCACCGCCTTGGAAGTCGAACCTCTTTGGAGCTCTAAAGACGACTTCACTAGCAACGTGATGTCCAGAGGTAGCAGCGCCGCGCTTACTATTGAACCGGCTACATGTGCAAGGCGTGTTCCGGCCAATGCCGCACTCCGCGCCACAGTTCCCGCGGTAGCGAACGCTGAGGCTGAGACTGAAGCCGCGGACGAGAAAATCCGGAAGAACCTGGCGCCGAATTCTACTCTCTCTTCGGGGGAAGTCGTCAATTCACTTGGGAGTAGATTGTGAAGGAATGTGAAACCACTACCTTCTAATTCTCTTATCAGCTGAGCATCGTCGTGAAGAGGTTTCAGAAAGTCTGCCAGAGTGGAGATAAAGATCTCGAGATTGTCCAACTTTTCTTGCAGTTGCGTGCAAGCTTCCCTGTCCTCGTCAATGGCTTCTTGAACCTCTTTCAATCCTAACTTTGTGAGAATTAGCTCAATTACTTTGGAACCTGACATCACCAGGCCTCCCGCGCCTCCAATCCCGGCGCCAACGAGCGAGACCACGAGCCCGGCTCCAAAAGTAAAGGGTGCAGCGATGAGGCCCGCTATTGATAGGACCCCTCCTACGGTACCCATAGACGCCCCTGTGATGGTCGATATGTTAACATTTCTATGATGTTCGTGTAAATTTGTCGCCAGCTCTTGCAATTTCTCCCTGGTGTGTTTTCTCTTTGGTATCCATTGGAGAAAAGCCTTATTCAGGTCTTCTCGTAACTGGCGCAGTTGTTCGAATTTCTGAGTGATTTGGTTCACAACAAATGATTCTGACGGTTCCGGAAGAGTGACGTCATCTTCATCTGTTTCACTCAGTGAGAAACTACTGTAAAACAAACATTCAAATCATTTTTTGGTTTTCTTGAATTAAGTATCTTCTGAAAATTTATATAAGTATATGTTCGTACAGTTCAGAGCGACTAATTTTTTTTTAAATTGAAGTTGGCACTGAATCGTCGGCACAGACTTGGCAGAAAGATGAATCCATGTTTTGAAATGCTGATTGCAACTCACTTATAAAAGATAGACGATACCGAACTTGCACATAGAGCTTAATTTAAGGGCATTTCTAAGAGGCTATGTTGTAATTCTCTTTATCCTAAGTGACTTTGAAATGATCAAAATATCACTTTGCTTCTTTTGACACCATTTTCAAGAGAACACACCGAGAACTGTTAGACATTTGATCTACCAAAGCACTAGAATAGACTTCCCCCCCTCCCCCAAACAGATGTCAACTACTACCGGCCCCATACAAACGACTCATTCACGACCCAAACATTACAAACGAACCGAACAGAACAACCTAACTTTACCGACGGATCGAAACAGACCAATCACGACCGACTTACGCCACTTGAGTCTTACAGCCAATAACATCACGCCAAAACTGACCAATCATTTTACACGAACTGAATTAAACACATTTTACTGACAGCTATTCACTTGACTCTGAGGATGACTTTCACACGGGTTGGCGAAACGTCAGTCACTACAACCGACAGCAGTCCTTCTCAGGACTACATTCACACGGACGATCACACTACACTTTCACAAAGCACTAGTGTTAAACCCTGTTTAAACCATTTTCAACCATCTTCAGTCGCTGTGTTCTGACTTGTGAATCGTCTTCCGTATTTCGCACAAGGCTGGTTTACTTATTTGAGCAGCGAGCAAGGCATGGTTTATTAAATTGATAGCCAGCCCGATCTGCCATATGTTTGGATGAGATGATTGCGTGACCGATTGTTGTCATGAAATTATTAACTAAAACCCATGGATTTCACACAATACCAAACGCGGAAAAATGTTCTCTTATTATTCTGCAAATTTCAACTCGAAGAGCAAAGTACATGGCTAAAACAAAAATAGATTTGCGTTTTCCTTTACTAAATTAGTTGTCAATAAATTAAAATGGGCCAAGAGGAGCATAAAATTTACCCGTATTGATCGACAACGACGAAAGTAGGGTTTTTATTCTCATTGGTATTTTAAATACTATACTAATACGTTCAAATATGGTGATAAAATAAATTTTCGGTTTAATATTGTATAATCATCGAATACTGATGTGAAAGACTTGTCCTAAAATATCTCCTTCAATAAACTATGTTTGCCTTCTGATGTTTTATCATTTCAACTATAATCAGTTCTGTATCCAGGTCTAAGCGACATCCTGTAAACTTAAGATCTCCCTTAAAAATCTCTAGTAATATTACTTTTCAAAGTACCTATTCGAGGTGCTCAAAATTCCGCAAAGATTAGCATGCTTTCATTTGCTGCTTAATGTTAATCTATCTTGCTTATTCCCAAATTCACTCGACCGATAAAAGACAACGCAACTTTACGTAAAAAATATTATAAGGCACAGCGAGTGCTTACTTAAACTCCGAACAATAATATAGCCTTCCATTTTCAAACATCAAACTACTATCAAAACAAACCTTTGTCCGTCGTTATCGGGCATTTTTTCCAACTCAAAACTCATTCCGTTGCTAACTCGACGGTAGACGCAACATAGCGAAATTCACCTGTTTGTTTCGCTGAGATCTATACACAACCTATTTCTGATAAAATAAAACAGCCTAGAGATAGAACTTCGCCGCTTTCCCACTTCCTTCAAGGTCAAAGCGATTTATAGTGTGCTCGCCGAGTTGGAGCGTGCGCGAACGAGCTTGCCTATTGTCACGTCAGCAGTGGAAATCATAACCTAAAAATATGACGTGACAGGCTATATTGGATTGTTCTTTGCGATTTCGAAAAACTGCAAGTCTCCTTAGAGAAATCGTAACTGCACCATACCAGAGTAAATTACTATCTTTGTATTAGTTATCAAGCTATCAATTAGTATGTTGAAAGAGAGTGAATATGTATTTTGGACACTAAGTTCTGAAAGAACTTCAACAGTACAATGTAGGCAACGAGGTGACGAAACTAAACATTTTCATTAAGTAAAACACTTGTTCGACACGTGCATTTTCACACTTTCCTAGCCATTCCATGCAAAACAAAAGTGTGAAATCTCCAGTTTCAGCACAGTCTAAGAACAAGAACCCCAACGACAATTATTCACTTGTCTGATCTAATTCAGTTCACACCGCTCTCGTGTTATGCTCAAGGGCGATCTGTTGCTGGAAACACTCATTGATCTTCCTGCAAGATACTATGAAAGCCTTTGGCGAGTAAAAATTTCATCTTCTGAGCGATGTTTTCTCTGGCATCGCCGCTGTGACATCAGTAACCGTTTAACTCCCAGAGTACATTAACATGTAACTTCTCCCTATAATATCTATACGTTATCCAGTAGACAGGCAAAGAGAACACTCAAACTTATCAGGTAGAACTTGCTACCTTGATCTAAAACCAAATTCCTGCAACTTATTTATCAGGAAATGTGTAACAGAAAGTGAGGAGAATTAACAATCAGATCTTAGAGGTTAAAGAGTTAACTTTCTATTCTATGCAGTCATTCTTGGTAAAAATCCATTTGCCCAATGGTAATTTTGATACTGAGATGAGCCCCTTCAATGTAAAGACAAAACCAAAGCAATTTTTGGCACCATTCCACAGACTTGCACTACAACAAAGGCAGAGTTCTGTTTCAAGAAAGTTTTGAAACAATTTGAGAGGGAAAAAAGCACACAGGGCCTAACACTAACAGTAGCCCACTAGCCACAGACTAGTAGAAATTCATTTGTGGCTAGTGGTTTTCGATTTCCACTGGTCAGTTTGGCTAGTAAACAAACTAAGATTGTCATAACATCTAAGATGTCACTAGCCACTTGGCTAATAAGTTGAAAAGTTAGTGTCGAGCCCTGGAATATTTAGCATGACTTGCATCTGTCACCTGCAAGTTTTATGTTTCACACAAAGGAAATGCTTTCACCACTCAGAGAGAGTTCAAGCATTTTTATTACAAGCCAAAGGCTACACTTGAACCTTGGAAGCTCAAAGTTAGCAAAATATTTCTTTGCACTCTCTCCACTGTATTTTCTATAAATTAATTCCAAATGGAAAATTGCATTTTTCAATGAAATCTGTTGTATGAATGTTATCCAGTATTCACATGATCACTCAAGTGATTAACAATGAAATTATGACACTGGCCATGTTTTAAGATTCCAAAGAGTAAACTCACTCTCTTCAAATTACTTCTAAAATTTGACAACTGAATAAAGGCTGAAAGTTTCTAAAGAAACTGTGATGCTGCATCGGTGGGGGTAACAAGGTAATTTGGTTATATCAACTAAGTTGAAATTGTAAATTGGCCACCATAACGAATAAAAAAGCTGACATTTTGAGCGTTAGCTCTTTGTCAGCCCTTCTTCTGACTACGTTTGCTGCCATGTTGAATTTTCGCTTGACAGCCTCACTGCTCTCAAAATTCCCATATTTTCACTCATCTTTTTCTTCCATCTCTCACAAAATTGTTGTAACAAATAGGAACTAAACAAAAAAAACTTTCTTGACGGATTAAAGAACACTGATTTTATTTCCAACAACCATAGCAGCTGTTTGTTAACCAACAATGTTTTCAAATGCATGGCTAGGTTACCGAGTCTTTCCGATGGGTGATGTCCACACACAATTTTTTGCAAATTTGAAGTTAGTTTTCAAAAGGTTAAATGTAGACTACCCTTTGGAATCTCAAAAGAAAATATATTTTTAATAGATACTTTTTAATGGCAGAGATATAAAAGATGGTTTTGACAGCATACAAATGTACTTCTCTTTTAAGTCACAAGTTCTACCAAGACATTGTTTTTTATCAATGTTATTCAAGATATACAGATTTAGGACTTCTTGGTCTCTTCTGCTTTGGTTTTCTCCTCTTTATCTTTATCTTGTACATTCTTATCTTTAGTGTCTTTGTCTTTACTCTCTTTACTTTTCTCTTCTTTCTTGCTGGCTTCATCTCTCTCCGCATCCCTGTTGGCGACTTTATTATTGATAAGGTTATGGAGTGCAATCACAGCACGAACAAGCGACGCTACATACACCACCAACATCTGATCATTGGTTTTTACTGAGAGTGACTTGATAAACTCCTCCAGACTCAGGTTTGGTAGTAAATTGAACACATCTTGTAACTGATATATGATGGTGTGATTAACAGGTAGTTTACCAGTTGCCACTTTGTCCAAATAATCTCTGATGTCTTGGAGACGCGAATTAAGACCTTTGAGAGACAACAGCTGGTTGGTGATGCGTTGGGAAAGTGTTCCCGCAGTAAGATTCTTGATATCCCTGAGGAGGTCAATACAAAAGTATCCATTTAATAACCAATAGTAACTGAAAATGAATCATTCACATAATTCTTTTTTTTTTTTCAGCTCTTAAAAAACTGACACAGTATTAGGCAAGTTACAGGCCTCAGGTACTCTATATAGGAGGGTTGTTTAATAATATAAATATCTTTCCACTGTTAGGTTTTGTCCCTCTTAACATTGTTCACAAATATTAATGCTCAGATAAAAGGTTTGGCTAAACTGAACATAGTTTAGGACACAGTTTTGTCAAATAGAATGGCTTAACTTTGTTTTAATAACTAGCCCTTAATGTTTCACCCAAAAACACCATAAAGAAAACAAGGCCAGGTATGACAGTGAACTGTTACCTTAGTAAATGTTCAACTCCAACCTCTTCTGCTTCTTCTGCTCCTATTTCACTGGCAATGTGCTCAAATGTTTTTGTTGTGGGTGTTCCATCCTAATAACATTTAAGACAGAAAAACAAGCTCTATGAGTTGTGAGGGCTGTATGGTTCAAAGAAGCCACACCAAATTTTCAAAACTTGCCACCAAAAAAAAATTAAATCTTGAGATAACCCTTTACAGCCTAACCAATGATCCATCTAGAAAAAGGCAGTAGTGAGTCCACATTAGGCTAACATCAGTATGCATATTCTCCATACTGTTCTCTATACATTCCTTAAGGAGCTGACAAGAAGAATTTGCATAACAATCCAGAATTCTGTAGTCGTTGATCATATCCTTTATTCTCCTAACTTCAATGTCTGATTAAGGGATGATACTGAAAGGAGAAATTAGATCCTTGTCATTCTCGGAGATAAAAGGGTTAACAGACTATTAAACTTACATCATGTACTTCTTCAATAGCTACATAGGCATCTGTAGGTAAACCCAGATCTTTAGGCTTTGCATCAATAATGACAAGCACCTGATGAGAGATGACAAATACAGATGGTGCTAAAAATTAAATCAGAGACGCAGTGGTCTAAAGAAATGGTTTGTGTGTTGGTCGAGAGGTTCAAGTTCAACTTCTGGCTGGGTCATTGTGTTCTAGGGTAAAACACTTTCCTTTCACATTACCTCTCCCCACGCAGAAGTATAAATTGGTACAAGCAAATTTTAAGGGAAGCTTGATGAAATGCTAGACGGCAACCCAGCCATGGATTAGCATCTTATCGGGGGGAGTAATATTCCTAGTCACTTTTTGCTCAGGAAACCGAGACAAGGTCCAGCTGGGTTGGTCAGTTGGCTCAGGGAGAGACTTGACACTATATTACAAGGGCTGAATTAGCTAATGACAAAGAGGTGTTGGATGAGCAAAAGAAAAAGGAACTCCTCCATGAAAGACTGACACACTACACAGTGCAATACTATAAGACTGACATCAGTGCATAATCTTAATTTTTCTTTTTTAAATTAAATATGATTAATTCCACCACTTAAAATACTAAGACTAACACTATTTATTTTACTTTAAATACAGTGCATATACTACTTACAATATACTGTAATATAATTTATAGGGAATCACTCACCCCACTAACAATTCTAATGCTTAAATAAACAATTCTTACCGAGTTGGTGCAGTATCTTCTGATCAACTCATTCACTTTGACGTCATTGTGGTGTAACTTAGGTCCTGTGTGATACCAGCCAACAATCCTTTCCCGCGCTTTTAACATTATATCAAAAAAAACAACAGACAAATTCAACATAAAGTAAAGCAAAGTAAACACCAAAGTTACAAGTTAATGCACTCAAAGTGAGCAAACAATAGAGACCATAGACTCCAAATAAATCCTGTTATTCGTGTTTTATTGTTACAGGCTTGAAGTTTACAGAAGGTAGGCAAGACTGTATCTGTGACTGTTATTTCTCACCCTGTATACACGCTATGCATAATGAAAATTTGCTTAAGAAGCCTGGTAACAAGTTTGCACGAAAGCGAGGTCTGTCAGGCAACTGTGTTTTTCTTCCTTCGGAGGCTTTTACCTTGGTTAACACAAAATGAGCTCGGTTTCAAACAATCTAAAGCTTTCAGAAGCAGATATTCCTGGTTCATCACTAAGTGGGAGAGCTCCAGCTAATTTAAAAGTACAAGAACTAAAATTCTGGCTAAAATGCTGAGGAGATCCTGCCAAAGATCTAAGGACGAAAGCCCAACTAAAGGTAAGACAACAAGAATTGAAACAACTTTTAAAATGTCAAGAAGCTCATTGATATTATTGGCCATTAAAGAAAAGAAAAGTTTTAAAATGTTCTAATCGATCCAAAGAGATACTGAATTCAGATTGTTAAGTTATAGCTCGCTCAGACTCGATCGTCTTCGATTGAAATTGCATTCTGTACCTCGTTCGATACGTTCATATGTTGGTTCAACATATAAAAACACCTGAAATTTCTCTCGTTTAATATTAAGGGTAGAAGAGTATATCAAGGCTGGAAAAGACAAAAATGTAGTGGATCCAGACGAAAATAAAGTCTATTCGAAGCGTAAATGTTTATACATTTCATATTTCATTTCATTTCGTATCTAGTGAGGTGCGGAACGCAATTTCAATCGAAGATGATCGAGTCTGAGCAACCTATAACTTTACAATCTGAATTCAAAATCTCTTTGGATCGATTAGAACATTTTAAGGCTTTTCTTTTCTTTCATGGCCAATTAATAATATCAATGAGCTTATTGATGTTTTAAAAGTAGGTTCAATTGTTGTTGTCTTACCTTTTAACAACTTGGGCTTTCGTCTTTAGACCTTTGGCGCGATCTCCTCTGCATTTTAGCCAGAATTTTAGTTCTTGTACTTTCAAATTAGCTGGAGCTCTCCCACTTAGTGATGAACCAGGAATATCTGCTTCTGAAAGCTTTAGATTGTTTGAAACCGAGCTCATTTTGCGTTAACCAAGGTAAAAGCCTCAGAAGGAAGACACAGTGGCCCCGCGGACCTCGCTTTCCCGCAAACTTCTTACCAGGCTTCTTAAGCAAATTTTCACTATGCATAGCATGTATACCTCAGATTCAAATCATCATAAAATCGTTAACCCAAGGTTTGATTCAACAAGACTTTACAATGAAGAGCTCTGTCATTTGTCAACCCTACATACCCTAGCATCAGTATGCATATTCTCCATACTATTCTCAACGCATTTCCTGAGGTGCTGACAAGGAGAATTTGTTTAAAAATCAAGAGCTTCTTCAAACTTCAGTTAAAAGACTTACCATTGACCTTCTTGAACATCCCATACATATTCTCAAGGTAATCATGATCTAAGAACCACACACTTGGATCTTTTTCGTCCTCGTCGAAAGGAACTACCAAAAAAAAAAAAAACACAGATCATATCACCAACTAAAACACAAAAAAGCCTGGTTTTTTTAACACGTGCGTGCGTGTCAAAGCTGAACGATCAAATTATTACATTCAGTTCAGCCGATTCCAGCAAAAACTCCAGAATTAGCAAGGCTGAACTACTATCGTAGTGATTGTTAAGAGAGATCTTTTTATAAACACTCAAATGAAAACAAGAGATCACCCACCAGCAAAACTATTAGCTACGTCGAGTACACCTTTTCGTCTTGAACCCAACAAAACTCCAACAACTCTCTTTTGATTTCCAACTTTACCCATTCTATAAAAGTGATCGACGACGCTAAGCAATACAATTGGGTGGACCACCACTTTGGTTAACGGTTCCTCTGTTCCAGGCATTTTGCTTCAGGAATACGAGACACCGGCGAAAAATACTTTTGAGAGAAAATGTTAGCTTTTCAAAATGGCGGATGAGTCGACAGATTTTTCTCTCCCTAGTTCCTCACGGCAATTATCGCTTTTAGGAATTGTGGGTATACAGTTTACGTCACGCACTATCATTTCTTTCACGTCACGCGTGAGGCGCGTGAGTACGAGTGGGACGTCTGATAAAGAGACTCTTTGTCACCTTCCCAGCGTGAAAAAGGAAGGATGTTTGCTTTTACTGAAAAGCGATGCATATTTGAACGTGCTTATAATTTGATCATTTACGTTAGAACTGATGTGGATCGACGTGATTTAAAAAACAGGTGATGTAACGGGATTCCACGCAAGCATCAGAGTCTTGCTAATACTTTCTTGTATTTCTAACAGTATTAGTGGCCCGCACCACACTTCCCTTTCAATCTTTGTGAACGACCAATCACTTTCTGGGAAAAAAATTTTCGGCTGTCTTCTTTCCTTCCGGCTTACCTTATAATAGCACAACCACCTTGGTATCCTAAGAATTTTTTTAAACGGGAATTTGTTCCCCCAGCCCCTATCCCCGATCACCAGTGATCATTGTACCTGAATAAACTTATTGTCGTCAGTGATAAACAAAGGCGAATCTTCGTTTCATTGTTTATTCGTTCACTATAATTATAATTTTAATTATTTACCAGCGGACGGCCGGTACAACGAAGCTTTAATTGTGCGTACCATTTATCCTCGTCTTTGATTTATTTTTCGGCTGAGTGTGAACGCTCGAGGTCTGTTTTCACGACTATTTATAAAACTTACTTCATTTATATGTAAATTTACAGTCTTAACTCTTTTGAACTCACTTTTTTTTTATACATTCCTTAATAATGGAGTCATGAAGTCGCCGAAACGTCGGAACATTAAATCCTTAATTTTTACTTTCTTATGTATTTGTAAAACATTGTCAATAATTATGATTATTATTGTTATTACTATGATTATTACTGTCATTATTATTATTATTATTATTATTATTATTATTGTTATTACTATCTCAAGGCCTTTAAATCAGTGGTTAAAATTATTGTTGATAGGGGAGTGGAATTTTTCTTTTATTTTGACAGCCTAAGGATCATGTTCTACACTCGGATCGAACTTTGTTCCCCTACTGATGACAAAACCATTGAATTTTTTCTGTCTACAAGAGTAGTGTTAGCGATATGCTCAAGAAAATCTTTGTCTATTTTTAAGCCGGAGGATATAATCAGTTTCTCTGGGTATATCTCATCGGCTGAAGCTTACCCCTGGGAGTAGGGATTTCACCGGGAACTCGAATTCCTTGCCCTTTCAAACGGCGAATCACTTCATCATCATTTTGCTATCACGGACCCTTCTGTAAGCATTGTTTGCTACAGGAAGCAGGAATCCGATGTCACTTTCTTTGTTTACTTACGTCGTTAATTCACACGATTAAAATCAAACGTAAGTTATCCCCAGTTTAGCTCTGAGAACGTGATCGCTCATTTTTAAAGTTTCGCAATAAAGCGAACTACCTATCGTCACATCCATTACGTTGCTGAGGCGATAGCGTCGGTTTATAAAAATGCATGCACTCTGCGGGCATGCAGCGAATTGACTTTCGTATCAAACTGCGATATACCATTATGTATAAATATATATATATATATAGTTTTTTTTTTCATTTCCCTTTAAAGATTACTCAAAGGTTCCTGTTTCCTTGAAAGCGGGAACATGATTTTCTGCTTATCAAAACAGAGTTTAAAAGCAACCGTCAAGTTGCACAAATGACGTCAAAGTACATACAAATTCAATTCTAAAAAAAAGCATTATCATCTCGTAAGCTTGACATCATCTCAGTCCTTTTCTTTCCTAAAATAACTGCGATCTACGAGCGCTTTGATTGGTCAGAAACTTATCATTTACGGTACCGGTAAACCTAAAGAAAACAGAAGGGTAGAACTTAGAATATTTCATACCACGTGTACTAACTGCCTCGGTGGATCCGGAGCTTGACTATAATACGCCAATACACCGATAGAAACTGCAGTTCTATGGCTGGATTACGTCGCTAAAAAGTATTTACCCTAGGAGATCAAGTAAGTAACATCTTAAGTTCACTTGCTTATCTATTATTTCGTAAAAGCTAGTGTAAAACATCAATCGGTCACAGAAGAGAAAAGTACATGGCTTGTACTTAACCAGGTTCGAGGTTCGTACTGAAAGTTACGGACCGATAGATTTCTGGCTCGCGCGTGCGTGGGCCATCTGAATCCGAATGTTTCTGGGTTCAAATAGAGGGGAAATTTTCAACTGTTACGAGCTTTTAAATTTAGCGAACCGTTCAGTGAAAAACGGCTCTCTAAATTGACCAGTCACAGCGCATGGTCTCACTGAGAGATACAAGGCTCTGATAAAAAGTAAAAATTGTCTATATAGAAAAGTTGGAAAGGTATTACTTCCAGAAAACATCACGTAACATTTTCTACCCAATCAACGCCATGGTGCTATATTATAAAAATCATTACGTATATTCTATTTCAGGTAAATCTCATAGATAGCACTGAAGAATTTGAAGTTTTACTGCAGCAAAGTTTAACTGTGTGAAAAAGCATTGCTCAGACGAAATCTTCAAAATTAGCATCTGAAACGCTCTCAGTGGAAATCTTTTTGAGGTGCATTTTCAACACGAAGGGAAAAAAATCTCAAGAAACCAACTAGATAAAAGTAAAAATAAGCAAACTGCCTAAAGCTAGAGCGGCAAAACACAGAATTGGATAACAGTTCACTTTCTTTTTAAATTCCCATGAGGCACAGTTTCCGCATGTGTGATCCAAGATATCTATGGTGGCCGAGAACTGCCATTAAACATATTCAAATTTATAGGAATTATTTTTGTTAATTTTTTTCTTTTTAAAATAAAAGCAAGGGAAAGTAAAATGTAAAATAGAAATAAAATGAAACTAAAGATAAATGAAATCAAATCAAAATTAAATACTACCCGGGCGAGCGCTGCCACTAGTTTTTTTTTTTTTTT